GGCTTCCTGGAACTTTGCTTCAGCGCGTTCAGCAGCAGTCAGCTTGAGAGGTGATGGCACTGGAGTGACCGCGGGAGGTGGCGGAGGAGGAGGTTTCACAAGCGGCGTGCCGGCGCCGAACCCAATCGTTGTCTGCGTGTAGCGGCGACGTTTCAGCGCTGCCGAATTAGAAGACTCCGGGGCTTCGGTGACGATGTCCGTCGTCTCAACGTCACCGTGAACGTCGAGGTCCGCCTCATTGCTTGTGGGACGTTGCGTCTCAGCGTCGTCTGAAGCTAGCTCCTGCTCAGGCGGGGGTGACCGTGACACAGCTTTGCGCACACGAAATTGCCAGCCCTCACTGTCATCCGAGGGCACAGGCAAAGGGCGAGGTGCAGATTCAGTTACATGGCCTCGCAAAAACTCGAGACCAGTCCTTGGCCTATAGCTACAAGAGGGGTCGCCATCATCGGCATTGACAGCGTCTCCAGGCGCAGCCATGGCTACCAGGTGGTGGTCGCTCAGCTGCTACATTGAGTGGTTAAAACAGGAGCGACTTTGGGGTGGTGGTGAAATGACGGTGTCACACTATACTGCTAGCTGTGCTTGCAGAACCCACACGGCAAAGCTTCGGGACAGAAACTCACAAAGCGCCACGGTCGGGGACCGTGGTTTGCATCTCCAAGCACCGACAATCTGAATGTGGTCCCACTCCCAGGACTTAGTTCAGGCAGCAATACTGTAGTTGCTGCCAATGTGGGATTGCGTGTCGTGCTGGCAAGGGAATTATTCCTAACTGACCAATCGGACACATGACAGAAGCCAACGCAAGTACCGGGGGGGGGGGGGGGGAGGGGAAGGGGTGCTTTGTACGCACTTCAGTGTAATCTACGATAAGTAAAAAATTACCCCAAGGCATCAGTGTGGCCTAGAACGATACACTTACAGATCAGTGTAACACTAACTCATAAAAAAATTACCCCTGCACATCAGTGTAGACCCAAAATTTCACCCTTGTAATTAGTGTAGAAGGGTAAATTACACTGCAAACCTGAGCCCTGTTCGTAGTAGATGTAGTGAAGACGGTGCAACAACAACAACACCGTCATCTCAAAAAGGTCCATTCCAAACTTCTGCCTCATAAGACGATGAATTTCCAATTATCTGTTTCGTAGGACACAAAAAAAATAATGGAATGTACACGCGTCATAATATAAAAACACTAAATTTGTGAGTAAAGATAACGCATGATCTGCATCTTGGATGGCAAAAGAAAATACACAATTTATTCCAACAACAAAAATTCTAATACGAATTCGTTTCTGCACAGATTTTATCAAACATATTTTACAAAACAATTACTCCTATAAAATAACATTAAACATCGCTGCTGTACAAGCCCCACATTGCGCGAAACAGTTCCTACTATTCCGAGGTGTAGAATGTCGAGCCAGGAGATCGCACGGTTCCAAGCCATTTCACCCCGTTCTGGTTTGCAGAGGCTAGGATTGGCTGGCTAAACAAAGCTACGTCCTAGTTACTACGAACTGAACAGAGCCTGGCTGCACTAGAGCCTCAAAAGCAGCGCGAAAGCTACTGCAGAGACACTACACATACCACAAATCTACCACCAACCCACCTTGCACAAAAGGTGACTTTTTAAAACATACGACCAACGCTTCTCAATTTTGAGATGGTTCGTGGGGCATCACGGGCAGTGCAAAGAAGAATGGATTCCGAAAACCGTCTCCCAACGGCAGCCCTGCGATCGATTTCACGCTTTCAACCATTTCTCATGAGATTGCGGAAGCAGCAACGGACCCATATGTTCAGACCGGGTGGGGTGACGAGAACGGTGAGAATGCGAACAAGTGTTACATGGACGTTGGTCAGACGAAAACGGGCAAGGACAGCCGCGGTGGAACGTACAAGTACAATCTGGTTGGGATGAACAACATGAGGTTTCTGATCCAGAGTAACTGGGACTGGCAGAAGAACCAATGTGTGACGCAGAGGAAGTACCAGTAGGGGGAGGATTTATGTGTGTCATCATGCTCGAATGAAACGTTTCCCATCTCTTTCTGAAGTCTAGATACAATGAATACGGTCCGATGCATGGATGTACCGTGAAATATAAATCAACAGCGCTTCTTTTATGCATCATGATTAGCCAAGCAGAGCCAAGCCTAGTCGATCCAAGCCTAGGAAAAGCAAGGTTCAGCCCAACCCAAGTAAAGCTATTCCAAGCAAATTAAAGCCAAGCCAAGCCAGGTTGGAGGGCAAACCAAGCCAAGCATAGCCAAGCCATGCAAAGCCATGCCAAGTCGGGCTCGACCAGTCCAACCCAGGACAAGCCTAGCCAAGCCAAGAATCGCCAGGCGAGGACAAGCCAGACCAAGCCAGGCCTCGACAGGCCAAGCAAAGCCAAGCATTGCCAAACATAGTCCATCCAAGCCAATCCAGGCCATGCCAAGCCATGCCAAGACAGCTCCATGCATGCCAATCCAAGGCAAGCCAAGAGGATAAATCAAACAAAGCCAAGCCTTGCCAGGACAGTCAAAGCAAAGCATAAGACAAAACAAAACAGGCCAACCTACACCATACCAAGCCAAGTCAAGTCAAGCCAAGCCAAGCCAAGCCAAGCCAAGCAAAGCTACATCGCGGAAAAGGGAAGTGCGAAAAAACACTTTTAAGTAAAGAAACCGCAACTCTAGGGTTACATGGACTTCGCAAGAAAAGAGTCAAGGTTCAAAATCTTGGTTGCACAAGTGACTTGTTTAGCAACTTATGCGTCACTTTACGGGTAGCTTCCGGATACTTATAACATGGAAACCACAACACGTATGCGGTTTCCAAAACGCATCCCCAAAGTCGCTTGCCTAGTTACTCACCATCCTACGTGCAAGTGACGCGACAACATCACCTGCAAGCTGCAAAAACGCATCACAAGAGCCCCCACTCGTACAGCAACTCCACGTGGCGAACCATTTCAACATCCGCCGCCACGTAGGCGATCACTCCGACAAGTGAACGCTATCTCACACCGTCAGATGTTTATGCTTAAAACTGAATCCTGACTCTACAAGTGTCGCAAGCATAAAATCTCGCCCTACGCATAACCCCTTATCGCGATGAAAATCACGAATCCCGCCACTATCACACCATCACATCCCATCCATTCATCTCCACCACCACAACGCACCACTACATGACACGTACCATTTACTGGACCAATCACACAGCACCTCAACAGAGGCCGAAACCTCAATCCAGTCACTACAACTGTCGTCTCACTACAAACTCGCACGCTGAGTTACATATTCGCAATCCTCATGTCGCCAACGTCGTCAACACCGCCAACTCATACCTCAACCGCTTATCCCTACACCCAGCATGCATTACCCATAGGACACGTGGCGGTTACCGCATCCGACACCATACTCTGTTAAAATGCATGGCGACCGCCCATTATTACCCCCATCGTGCTTCGAGTTCCCTGCACGTGTCACACACCCATGCTTTCGTCTCGAAGCGTTACTAATCCACGATGCCATTTCGCATACAACGCAAGCACAAGCGCGAAACCATGTGGACCGTCCTCATTTCGCCACGTCAGCGAAACCAATAGATTCAGGAACCGACTCAGAGCCCTAACCACACAAAAACTGCCTTTCCATCAATTCCAGCGAATCCCGTGCAGACATCTGGTAATCCGCGCAACATTTCAAACCTATCACAAGACTCCTTCTACATCCACTTCTCCATCACATCCGTTGAATATTGGGGTCAGATATTTACCTCACGTATGCGATTTAGTTTCCACATTCTGCTGTCCACCTATCCCCGTGATTTACGGCGAAAATGCCGCCACAAATCACGGCGCGCTGCGACACGCGCCGCCCATACTGGCAATACTCGGTACCACACCGTCCACTACCAATTCTCTTCGCATAAGCTCCACTTCCAAATGAGCAACATGGGAAAATGAATACAGTTTCAGCAACAAAACCAACTATATGGTACAAGAAACCGCATACAACACCACACTTTCCGCATACCTACCCCACTTAAAGTGTCTCCCTACCCATAACCACCATGCAGTACATCAGAAACCAAACAACATCAAAGAAATACGACATTCGAAGTACCATACGTCTTGCAGCGCAAGCCCAATCGATGGCTACACTACTCATCACCAACGGACGCGGGCAACTCTTCGTCACAGCCGAGATCGTCGGCTTGGGATCCGCCTGCAGGCCTCATCCCTTCGAGCCCACTAACCGAAATAAGCATACCGTGGCGGCCCCAAATCCAGGCCTCACGCTCAGCATCCCATTCGGGATTGAACACCCGAATAGCCCTCTCAACAACTCCTTTGGCGAGCACCTTGAGCCCATTGACTATGTGGCCGTTGCCACCCGCAGAGTTGGAAAGGCGGCCTTTGCGCTCCTCCCAATACATGACAGCATCCGTTACCTGCAACAACCATGTAACCAATTTAGCTAGCCCGACGAGTGTTAAAAACCGCCACACTATGAAAGCCTTCAAACTCACCACGTGCTCGAGCCAGGCCAAGTGGTACACATTCAGAGTGAGAGGAACTCCTGGCTTCTTCGGCTTGAATGCAGCCTTGGCGCACGCGACAAAAGCAGCAGATGCAAATGGCATGCCTTGGCGGTCGTTGCTCCAGTTTGACAGCGCAAGAGTTTCTGCACATACCACCAACCGACGTAGGTTTAACACTAGTAAAGACAAACACATGTCGAGTGCTGTCACCACAGCACAATGACTCATCACGTACCCGCTTCCTCACCGGACAGACCTATGCGTTCCTGGATCTTCTCTGCGCTGCGCTCCTTCTCCGGTGCCCATGGGCTCGATGCATCTATCTCGTCACGGAACAACCCGAGCTTTGGAAGCGCGATATCTCTAACTCGCGCTGCAGCACGGGTCTTCCACTCGCTCAACGTCTTGTTCAAATCAGCTCGACGTGACTTGTCAGCAGCCAATGCCAGGCACGCTTAAGTGTAGGGCAGACGGTCTAAAACCGCACAAACCCCGTCGGTTTTGTCGTCGCTACTCGGGTAAAACGTCATCGTTGCGTACGACTTGCTCATAAACAGGTACACCCTGACTAGGTCGCACATGCGCTGCACACCACGTGGGAAAATAAGACACCAAAAGCGATTTTACGATGAACACCTTAAAATTTACCTCACTTATCGAGTCTGCCCATTCCTCAACCGCACGTCTGACATAACAAAAACCGTCAACAAACCACAACCCAAACGATACCAACCATACACGTCGCACGCCTCACCTTCCACGCCTTGTCTGCAGGGAGCAGATCAAGCGCGCTCTGCAGCACAGGCGACCTTGAAGACCTCATATGGCGCCGGCGCGAATCATCACTCTCGTCGTCCTTGTCGCCTTCAGAAGCGTCACTGCGCGCCTCCACACGGCGATGTTTCGGGTTGGCACACCTGAGTCCGGGATCTCTCTGCTTCTCCGCTTTCCGGCGACATGACCCACCAGGACTCTCTGCCAAGGCTTTCATAAAAAATTCTTCCAGCCGAGCCACGGTCTTAGCGTTGTCATCTTGCGCCCGCTTAAGACTATCAAACACGGCGCCATACACGGGCACCTCCCCGGAAGGGTTTTGTGACCCCTCTGGTGTTGCACGTAAGGCGACCAGCGGGTCATCACCCTCCACTTCAAGAGGTTTATCTTTGCCCCCTTTTGATGCATTAATCGCTACAGAATGAACATGGTTGGCTGGCTTGGTTTTAGCCTGCCCCTCATTGCTCTCGCCCTTGCTCGCGGACTGCGCCGATTCGGAATCTTTGGCATCAGGATAGTCGCGCTGTTGTGTCGCCTCAGTGGTCTCGATGCCCTCGGTTTCCTCTGCCCAAAAATGGCATAGTATGCGGAAATCAATAACAAACTCTACTCATACTCCTACAACAACAAACATAGTTGTGTGTAGTTATAAAACACAAAATTTAACCCCTTCACGTACAAAACGCGTGCCCAACCGACTTCCGCATACCTTCGCCCCCAGAGGTTGCGGTCTTCTTCAGCCTCTGAAAGTTCAACTTCTTGGGGACATTAGACCCCCGAGGTCCCCTTGCACCATGACCAATAGGAGTGGCCAGTTGATAAGACGCCCGCAAATACGCTGGCGCCTGTGTCGCCCTCCTGGATCTCCCAGCAGGCTCTGTGTTCTGGGAGGCGATGGAGTTTTCCATCTTGGAGAAGGTAATGAGAGAGAGTGATTGTAGTGTTCCGTCTATGACGTCTTATTCAACAAACACGTATGAGAATTCTTCACCTTCAGGTATGCACAAACCAATAAGGGTATTCGGTAACCAGTCATAATTGGCGATTACCGCAACCCACACGTCCAATCGTACAACGCTACATCAGCATCAATGAGAACCGCGAAAACCATATCACATCGGGCCAGTCTGGCGCATGAAAAGGAAACTCGTGTAGGTTTATCAAAACCGCATACCGCATGGAAACATCAGTCGGTCCAACGTCAACACTATAACATATTTTTACATATCTCACACAGCGCACACACAAAGCCTCTGGCTCCCTAAAAATCTACTTGGAATGGCTTACGCATACAACACAATATCCGAACAAATCACATTTACACAGCAACCATTTGCTCTACATTAGTAACAATCTCCACATCACACGAAAACACACATATCTGGTGCCCACCCCTCACCATTCCTACTCCGTACCATCATCGTCACCATCTTCCTCGCACACGTATTTTGCATCACCCTCGGAGCCCTCATCTCCCTCTTCGCCCTCAACACCGTCATCCTCATCTTCCTTGCCGATCGCACCCTTAGACTGCGCTTCTTTCTCCATGAGGTCGGGCCCAGCATTACGTACCAGCTCCGTTTGTAAAGTTCCACCACCATCACTACCCATCGCTTCAACAACCCCTACACCCGCCCAGTTGACGTTGGTTTGCCTCTTCTTTCCCCGTGTGTTAGCTGACGGGCTCTTCCTCACACGTTTCTTCTTGGCATTCAGTTCCTGCACCACCGTCGCCCACTTCCTCCACCGCCACCACATGCGCGCCCCCACGAGCTTCGCCACCGCATCCTTGTCGCACCCCTTCAACAACCCCTTTTGTGCATCTGTCAGGGGGATGGTTTTCTCCATCTCCACACCGGGCCGCAGCACAAAAGCAGCAGCGGCAAACGCTTGGGCGGCCTCCCTGGGGGTTGTATATGCTCCGAGTCGATGCTGCCGCCGTTTCACCCCTTCCCACGTCAAAATCTTAGCCGCCCACTTCCCAGTTGACTTCTCGACGGATAACCCGGTATAACTCGACCAGTCAACGTCCTCATCATCGCCTCCCTCCCTGGGGCTCTCGTGGTGTGCAGCTGCCAAGTTCCTTGGCTGTCCGGCCTCCATGCCCTTCTGCACAGTGGGGATGCCTTGAGCAGCCACACGCTGCTGTCTGGAAATCACCAGGTGCGGTATAGTACCGGGTTGCGGGAGTGTTCCCGCCATCGCCGGAAACTGCACTCCTTCCCCCATGAACCTTGCACCAAGCGACACCCGCGTATCCGTACACTTAACGACCTCCTCAGGACTCTCCAGCCCGGGCTTAGCAAACCCAGAAGGGCGCTGGGGGGTAGGGGGCGCGTGTTTTGTGCGACTATTTGCTAGGATGCAAACTTTGACACCATCGCCGTCTTGCAGGAGTTGCACCGCTGCATCTTGCACCTGCTCTGGTGTGTAGCCCATCACATGCGACAGGAAAGCAACGCTGCGTTCAAGAATTGCCATCTCGCGCTTCCCCGACAGCTGTTCTGCCTGTAGCTGCTCCAACCTCGCGTGACAGGCATCGTGCTGAGGATGCGGAGCAGGACGGTCTTTCGTCAACTCGGGGTGCTCCTGCGAAGGGATGTCAATGTTGTCTGCTGCCAACCTAGGCAGAAGGGTACCGGCGGCGTGCTCATAGATGTCGGCGCGCATTCCGTGCCTATACTTCAGCGAACTAACACCTTCAAACCAGAGCCCTGTGCACACGGTCTTGAAGCTCGTCTCCACTAGCTTCTTCAGGTAGTGGCACAAGAAAATCCCGCAGTCGTGTGAGTTTGGCTGCTGAGGGCAGTGTTCCTCCTGCTCAAGACACAAGACAAGAAACAACGAGTTGCATAACTAATTCTAATGTTGCAGTTCACCACTATGTTCAAAATGCATGTTAGAACTCACCCCTAGCACGATGCACCTGGCTTCCGTGAGCACACTGTCCACATGAGTCAAATCCGCATGCGGATGGGTCTCTTGGGCCAGAACGGAGAGCACCCTGTGTAAAACAAAAACTCCATATATGAGAATGTTGTGATAAACACATGCGGCGAATGAAAACGGGGCCACGTACAGTTTACACCCGCTGAAAATGGCCGCCGCGTCAGTTTGAGAGAGCGCGCTGTCATACAGTACCATCTGCAGGCTGTCTTCGCCATCTGACGTCGACGGTTTGAAGATTTTTGAAGGCTCGCACACGATTACCAATGAGTAGTGATTACTGCAAGAGACATTGGAACGTTTATACGAAAGCGAAAAGTTAGAAGCGCAAACAACAATAGTTGGAGGTAGGGTTTGCAACTAAGCGTGTGTGCACACACAACATGTGCTCACTTACTCCAGGTAAACTGGAATCGCTAGGTAGTCATGCTCCAATAGGGGCAACCCTTCACCGGACGCCATGGCCTTCTCCCACCTCCTGGAATACGTGAAGGCCTTAGAATCCAGCGCTGCCCATGTCTTCCCATCTGGCAAGTTAGGGTGTCGGATACTTAGCAATCTGCGTCAAATGCCAGAACAACAAAGGGCAGTAAGAAAACTAGTCAATCCAAAGTAAACACACGATGATAGATTCTGATAGTCATTACAGGTCATCAACTCACGTGTTGTGGAAGTCGATGACTGCATCAGACAACCATTTCCCATCGGCGATGGTAACCACATCCTGCTTTTTAATAACGCACCTGAGTCGTCGTTTGTTGTACAGCTCTAAATCTGGGAAATCTAAGGATTTTTTGCTCTGACAGATCCAGGAAATCACATCCGCGGGCTCCGGCAACTCCTCCTTCATACGAATAGGGGTTTCGATTTTTTTAAGACTCTCTACCGGATTGTTCGCAGCGCGACTGCTACGGGTTTCACGCACATCGCCAGCCGAGCTCGTCCTCGTCTGCCTGCCCGCGCCTCTACCGGGTTTTTTTGCCATCTGCTTTGCGAGAGCCATAACGTCTGGGCTTACTTCAGAGACGTCGCAATCATGATGCCTTTCGAGCTTGGCGATTGAAGGCGCTACTGGCCTCATTGACAGATATTGCTACAGACGCACCTTGAGGCAACTATCAACTGGACTCAACACTACTACAAAACCCTGAATTCGACAATCCATAGTATCCCTGCTTTGAGATACACCATCCACGACATATCGAGGTTGTCAGACAAGTGTCACGTCACACTGGTTGGTTTACCACAGCTGCGGCATGTTCAGGTAACCTGCCATCAATACGCGTGGCGCAACACGATTTGGTCCGTTCGCCAATTTGATGTTTTTGATCCATGTGTCGTGCTTTCAGGATTATCGAACCTCGGCTAATTGGGCCAGCGAATCTCGCGATTCATTGGTGAAACGATTCGGTGAAACAATTCCGCAAACGTGAAAGGTTGGCGCGCAACTGGATGGACAAACAAAATTGTTACACGACGTGTTACGATACGATGGACATGTAAAAACACAAAACAACACAACAAAACAAACCAAACACAGGTTAGTCTTCTCGTATGTCGCATATAGGGTATGTACTAGAAGGTTTAGTATGGTTTTAGCGAAGCATACATCGGCGCATGAACGCGATCCCCCCACTCTCGGAAAAATGGCACAGTATGCGGTAAACGGTCTGTGATGGTGTAAAACGCATACCCTAGCAGACTCTGGTATTCTTTTCCCTCAATAGCTCAATTAGGGTTTCGGTTCTCACCATGACCAGCAACAGATGCGGCGGCTGTCGTACTGATTTGAAGGACGATAACGCTTTGCAGTCTCATCTGTCAAAAAAGAAGATATGCGCAGAGAACCAGAAGCGGAAGTTAGACGAGTTTTTATTGGACGCATACCTGCACGCAAGGGATTGTTATGGGGGACGCAGGCAGAGCAGTCCACCACGTTCTAGGGCGCGACGTGACTCCTCGCCTGCGAGCGACGCTGCACCGCCAGTCGATGGAGGGAGCGATCCGGCAACGGATGTAGAGGCAAACGATGATGTGTCCACCTGCTCTGAGGTTTCTGGCGATAACGTAGTGTTTGACACTATCACGGAGATGTATCTTTTTTTCCGTGATGCCGATCTGTCTCGACGTGAAGTTAATCGTTTGCTCAACATATTCAGAAACCCGAGGTTCAACCTAAGGGCCCTTCGCCGATGGCGAAACTACGTGGATGTGAGGCGTTGGGGTAAGGCCCGTGCCCCACCGGACATGGTGCCATGGAAAACTAAGGAGATTGTGGTGTGTGGGCCCAAAGGAGAACAGAAGCTGCTGCTGCATTATCGTGATACAGAGATGGTAAGAAATACTCGTATGATTAGTATATGCATTGGTTTCCAGATTCTAACACAAATATACGCTTATTGATGTAAGTATACTCCCTCCGTGTCAGATTGTGAAGAAGCTTGTCCGCACATTCATCGCGAAAGAGGGTTTTATCAGGAAACCGGCGACTATCACATGCGAGCGCAGTAAGCAGCGCGTATACCAAGGACCTGAAATGGGGGAGTGGATGCATGCAGCCCAGGTATGCATTTTTTATTATGGGTAACCAGAATGTGGTTTACCATATGTGCTGTAATTTGTGTTTATTGCTAACACGCATTGGCGATTTGTTTTAGCATACAGCGCGAGGTCAACGACAACAACGCCCTGATTTTGGGCGTCATCGTGTACAGCGACAGCACCCAGGCGTCCGGGAATGGAAGGAGGAGTGCATGGTCCGTGCTAATTACGCTAGTTAATATCCCTGAGGAGCTGCGGTGGCTAGAACCGGGACACACGCTAGCGGGGGTGTTGCCGTTTCCGCCCGAATGGGCTTCATCCACGGAGAAAACGCGAGTCTTCCAGGAGGCTATGAAGATAATACTCGCGCCACTATTGCGGGAGTCTGCATGGTATGCATAGATGTTGGGTTACACCATATGCAGGACCCTATTTTATTCCCGGCATGCCATACGTCACAGTGCATACTAGCAATTCTGCATACTACATGCTCACCTCCCTATGTGTGGTACATGTCCATTGGATTGTGGTATTTGCAGTTCTCCGGTGAGGTTCTTCTACGTGAGCGACTCATCGGGTGATGCTATAAAAGCGATCCCTTGCCTCTTCGGAATGCCTGGCGACTTCCCGGAATCGTGCAAAGCGTCTGCGACGCTTCAACAGGGCACTAATCGGCCTTGCACCACATGTTACGCGAAGGAGGGTGAGCTTACTCGCTTGGTCGGCACAACTGATCCAAGGACGCCGCACAAGCAGCGAGTGATTGTTCGCAGAATCTTGGCATGTGTGAAAAAGAAGGACTCCAACAAAATCAGGAGTGCATGGTCAACACATCTGATCGAGGTGGGTGTACCTCGTGTATAATGTTCCTGCTGATGCCAATCGTATTTTACAGCCGTTGCATTGTATGTTGCCATTTGCTCAGTGCGTCCTTCAACGATGGAACTTCGCGGACACCGATTGGGGAAACGTGTGCCTGGCATGCCTCGTCGACACCTTGCACGTTCTGGACTCTGGGGTGTTCATCCACATGATGGATGAATTCCTGTCCACGCTAGGACAGGCTGAAATGCGCATCTTGGAGAGGTGAGGTTGGATTGTGAGTGTCGGGGCTTTGGCATGTTGATACCTGCCAAGACCCACTGTTGAACATTGTTTGATTTGGTGGGCATGACGTTCTCTACATCGCAGGCGCAAGAAAGGGGTAAAATGAGACACGCCTGTCAGAACATATATATAGCTTATACTATTGTGTAGGCTGTAGTGGGGTATCCCATAGGGGGTACAACCCAGTTAGGGTTTCCTATTTGTACTCACTTCATTCATAGTTCATTCCATTCTCGTTCTATTCTCCACATGGTATCAGAGCCACCAGTAACCTCGATCGGGTCAACAGCGTCTACCTGGGACACACCTGAGGGGGCAGGAACCTGAGGGGGGAGGGGGTCTACCGGGGGGGGAACCGGCACAAGGAAGTCCGGCGGCGGGGGGAGGGAAGGAGTGCGGTAGGGGAAGAGGCGTTAGAAGGGGACTGACTCGTCGAACGTGACATCCTGGGAGGACAGAACACGACAGGAGGAGGGGTGGTAGAACTGCCACCCTGGAGCGTCAGGGGGGAAGCCAAGGAAGACACAGGGAGCAGCACGAGGGGACAGCTTGTCCGCAGACAAGTCGCGGACAAACGCCCGAGATCCCCAGACACGGAACGCAGACGCATCGCCAACCTTCCCCGTCCACAGCAAGACTGGGGACATCGCAGGCCGAGAGACCCGAGGGTGAAGGTTGAGCTGATGCGCCACGTACCGCACCACAAACGGCCACAGGAAATGGGGGGCAGCCGCATGCATCATGGACGTACGAGCGACATCCATGACCATGCCAATGCGGCGCTCAGCAATCCCATTTTGCTGTGGAGAGTCCGGAAGCGTAAAGGTCTGGCGGATCCCCCGTGTACGACAGTAGTCTCGCAGAAGGCGAGAGGAGAACTCCCCGCCTCGGTCAGAGTGCAGACGCAAAACAGGAAAGTCCGAGCCGAAGCTCCTCCTGAGTTGGAGACGAGCCTCGCGGATCCAGTCGATCAGCACCTCAGTGTTAGCACCCTTGCTGCGCAAGGGGAAGACTGTGGTGTAACGCGAGTAGTCGTCAACCACCAACAGGAAGTAGCTCTCGTGACCCTGCCCACG